GCGGCTCCTTCGACCTGCGGCGCTTCCTGACGCAGCCGCAGGTGGCGGTCCGCGCCGTGTGCCTGGTCTTCGCCCTGATCGTGTTCTCCTGCATCTTCGGTGAGGGCTACAGCAACACCCACGAGTCCCAACAGCAGTACTGCGTGTTCAACCGCAACGAGGATGCCTGCCGCTACGGCAGCGCCGTTGGGGTGCTGGCCTTCCTGGCCTCCGCCTGCTTCTCCGTGGTCGACGTCTGCTTCCCCCGTATCAGCAACGCCACTGACCGCAAGCTCCTGGTCATCGGCGACCTGCTCTTCTCAGCTCTCTGGACCTTCCTGTGGTTCGCTGGCTTCTGCTTCCTTACCAACCAGTGGGCTGCCACCAAGCTGGAAGATGTGCGGGTGGGAGCCGACTCGGCCCGGGCGGCCATCACCTTCAGCTTCTTCTCCATCTTCTCCTGGGGCGTGCTGGCCTCCCTGGCCTACCAGCGCTACAAGGCCGGAGTGGACGACTCCATCCAGAACTACGTGGACCCTACTCCGGACCCCGGCGGGCCTCCGGGCAGCTACCAGCAGCCGCCCTCCACCCAGAACGCCGAGACCGCCGAGGGCTTCCAGCCGCCTCCCGCGCACTGAGCTGCAGCTGGGGCTGGTAAGGCGAGCAGCGAGGGCGCCTGGGGGGCCTCCCTTCCTCCCGGACTCCTCCCCGGAGGCTTGACCCCGGAGCTGCGGGCCCCCGTCGTCCGGCCTGTCGGAGCTCCCGTCTCGCCAGCCCCGGCCGCCCAGAGCCTCTCGGCCTGACCTGACTGTGCCCCAAGGGCTCTTCAAGAGCAATTTTTAGGAAAGGGTTTTCAGTTAGACGTGTTCTGTCATTACTTTTAATGATGCCCAGCCCCGCCTGGAGTAGCTTGAAGTGCTTAACACGCTGTTTGACGAGTGCCTTAGCTTCTCCCCCGCCCAAAGGCGCCGGGCCCGGGCCCAGGCCCAGGCCTCAGGGCCGTTCCCTGCCAAAGACCAGGTGGGACCTTCCCCCTGCTCTGCTGCCGGCGCTGGGCTGGGGCTCCTTTCCTCCTCGCTCAGGTTCCTTCCTGCCGTCTGTGCCCCCAGCCCCGTGCCTGCTCTGGAAGCCTGCAGCCCCGTGTTCACTGCTGTGGTGTCAGCTTGCTCTTGATTCTGGGGTCACGACCCTGTGCCAGTGCCTCTGAGCCACCCTCCTGACAGCTGAGGGGCAGGGCCGGTGCCCGCCGCAGGGGGCTGGGGCCGCACTTCCCTGTCCCTGCTCCCAGCCCTTGGCTGCAGGGAGGGGCTTTGCCTGACCAGAACACCCAGCTTTATGCAAATATCCTGTTGTCAGTTAGGTGTGGGGCGCACCCCACGGCCCCTAGACGGTCCTGAATGTATTACAAAGCCTTGGGGGAGGACGCACAGCAGCCTCGGATTCTGTTAGACTAATTTTGGAGATGGAATAAATGTTTTCCTCATTCATTAAAAAAAAAAGGTATAACTGTTGATCATTATGCATTCCAAAGTATTCAGTACAAATATTTTTAAAACTCTCTGCTATAATAAAAGTGAAGTTTGTTGCATTGTATTACAAGGTTTAAAAACTAGTTCATATGAATGGAAATATTTTAAATGTTTATAATAGTGTCAACAGTGTCAATATTAACTATTGTGCTGAAATACTCTTTCACATATAGCTTAATAGATTTAAGATAATACCTTTTTGATAGTTTTGTCATAGATTTGCATATAAGTTTTAAGTCATATGTTAATCCAAAAGTTG